AATTGATTTGAGCAGATTATGACAATTTTTGCTGTCGATTCGGCACTTACGCTCGAATCAAGATCTGACAATTGTTGAGCTCTCTTGTTTTTTGTCTTTACTGTTTATACAACAAATACGCTGGATACTAACAAATTTGTATTATCTGAGAATAATAATAACGATCGTAAATAATATATTTAATCTCGCACAATGCTTATGAATTAAGTCGTACGTAAAAAAATCTACTGACATTTATCGACAAAGGGAAAGTTTGTACTGCTGTCTCTCAATTTCCAGACGACGACACAAGAACAAGATAATTGGCTTCATAATCTGCATATAGTGCATCCATTTTATCCTGCATCTCATTTGAATAGTTTTGCCACTGCTCTAACGCATTCTGCAGTATCGGATGCACCATATTTAATGTCTCAATCAGCAGCGGTAAGTAAGGATTTTGACGGGTTGTATCTTTATCATAGGCTTGTTGAAAAGAGGTGAACACGTCCGATAAATTTATCATAGGCGTCAATAAATAATTTTGACACCACTTCACTTTTTTTTGCCCAAGACTTTGTACACTCTTAGCCAATTTGCGAAGAATTTCGCCTTGTGTGTTCCATGCTGTTCGCCAATAATCAGCAATTTTTCGACAAGCCACCAGATCGTGCTCGGTAGCATTTTGTCTAGCCTGCAACTGCTTGAGCATCAACATCACACGTTTCTCGCGCTCTTTGGCATTCCCTTGTCGATTTTTGATGCCTCCTGTCGATGATAGAACCTCCATGATCGTATTAAGCGAGTGACAATCTTTAGTATTTAGTGTAGCAGCATCGTTCGTCGCAAGGGTGGTTGAAGTGGGTACCACGACGCCAAATGCCCCGACTTCAAGAAGCAACTTTTGCACGCTTTTCATCAGCTCATAAGCATAAGAACGCAACGGTCTGGCTAAGGAAATTTTTGGAAAATCAATCTGTAAAACTTGTGCACTGAGTTCGTCCAGTTGTGTTGAAACAGATTCAAGATCATTTTCGAGTTGCTGCACTCTTTCAATCCGTAAATGCGCTATACAGGAAGTATCTTCATTGTATATCTCACTCATCTTTAACCCCATAGCTTCGTTGCGTACAAATGACATGGAAAGTTTACTCACACGCAGTTTGGTTTCCAAGCAAGCATTTGCAGCGAGTGTCGCACCTTTGATTTGGCTCTCCACACGCTTGAATTCATGCATTAGTTTCTCAGGTACAGCTAGCATCCACTTGATAGGCTGTCGACATGTAATCTCATCATCATCAATTCTCATGGCTGTCGCATTTTGATCAGCACCGGCGGCTTTTGCTTGTTTCATTCCATCTTCAATCACTTTTCGCCAACTTTCCATTGCAGACATCAATTTCACTTCAGAGTTTTCAAAAGCTTCCATTGCCTTTTGTAATAAGCTTACTTGACGTTGAAGCTGCACCTTTTGTGCTTGTAATAGCCGTATTCGTTTTTGGGCAACTTCAAGCGAATCACCACACATACTGTTGCTGGAGCTGTCATTCTGAAGAAGAGATTCCAAATGTTTGATCTCGTCTCGCAATTTGGCATTATCGTTCGTCAAAACCAATTTTTCTTCCTGCCAGATTCGTGCCTCGTCCTTTCTGAATTTCGACACAAAGTCCGACGGCTGCTTGCTCGACACCGTCCGTTCAATCATTATACCACCATCTGTCCTGGGTCGACTTGTTTGATGGACAGAAATTCTTTTGCGTGTAGGCCCACGCGAGTCTAAGCATTGAGACTCATCTTTTCTGGACAATGGTTCAATTGTCGAATCGAAATTCCAGTTTTGCCCTTTGTTCTTGCTATTTGAAGTGCACCGATCAATTAAAGAATATTCTTTCATCCCTTTTGTCAAATCTTGACTAGGAATCAATGACGGAACTTTTGCACAACTTTCAAAATCATCGCTATCGGCATAAGCATCTTCAGTATCTCCACTATCATTCTCCAGTCCACAGTAATTACTATCACATTGACTCTGTCTAGCAGCATATCGAGCTATATTTGGTGAAGAACTATAAGTGCTAACTTTCCGACCTGCACTCCTGCATGAGGATTTAATTCGCGTAAGTAGCAATCGAAACGCTTGCGCACAACATTCTTTATCAAACACCAATTTCTGCCATGTAATAAGTGCAGGAGCTCCCAATCTCTATAAAAAGTCCAAATATAACATGAGCCTTCACATATACAGATCACTTCACCAACAAAGTATCATACGGCAAGCTCCGAAGCAACCAATTGCATAAACTCTGCTCGGTATTTGTCTTCTTTCTTTCGTATCGCAACTCGATCTCTAAAAATGCCATCAAACACCCTTAATCACTTGCACAAATGTACGCAAAAAACTAGTATATCACACACACGTCGCCCAGCAATTTGTCCGCTTTACGCTCCAATTTACGGTCTTTACTTTTAATTTGTAGCTCTTGTGCTACTGCATTCGAAGATACTTGCTAATAATAATACCATTAATAAAAGGATAAAAGGGTAGCCAACAAATAGTGACATGTCATACCTCTTGAAAAAGCGTTATGAGCACCAATTCCTTGACTGTCCACTTCAGATCGCGCAATTGCGACGCTGACTGCAGCAATAATAAACATCATCATGGCGCTCACGCAACAAATTTATATAAACTGCCAACAAGATGTGCTAAGCTAGGCAGAGTCACAAGCTCTTTGTGCAGATGGTCCATTTAAAAAAGAGAATCCTGTAGTGTACCACACCAATCGCCCATCACATATCTCGTCCAATCATGACTTGTTGATGTTACATTTAGATTTAACCAATCGTAATGCTTCGCTCCCTTCGGATCGCTGTCAGACATCCGCATCGCGTTAGGCAATACAAAGCAATGAGCGGACTGAAGAGTAACGAGTCAATGGAGAAGGCCGTAGCTGCTGCGGACGTGAACATAGAGACACTCGAGAAAAAGGTGGCTGTTCTATCCCCTTTCTCAGTCGAAAATTGGCCCGCTGCACGCATTCGAAAGACGTTTATTGAGTTTTTCCAGAACCAGAAGGAACTGCCGCATACATTTTACAAGTCATGCCCTGTTGTTCCACTCGATGACCCAACGTTGTTATTTATCAACGCTGGTATGAACCAGTATAAACCGATTTTTTTGGGTCAAGTAGATCCATCACATCCCATGGCAAAGCTTGTACGCGCTTGTAACTCACAAAAATGTATTCGCGCCGGCGGTAAACATAATGATTTGGATGATGTTGGCAAAGATGTGTATCATCACACATTTTTTGAGATGCTTGGAAATTGGAGCTTTGGGAACTATTTCAAAAAGGAGGCTGTCCACTTAAGTTATACTCTATTGACGGAAGTTTATGGCATTGATCAAAGTCGTCTTTACGCTACCTACTTTGGCGGTGATGATAAGCAGGGTCTTCCGTCGGATGAAGAAACTCGTCAAATTTGGCTTAACTATTTGCCGGCTGAGCGTGTATTGCCTTTTGGCTGCAAAGACAATTTCTGGGAAATGGGTGACGTGGGTCCGTGTGGTCCGTGTACTGAAATTCATTACGATCGTATTGGTAATCGTGACGCCTCCAAGCTTGTAAATGCTGACATGCCAGATGTTATTGAGATCTGGAATAATGTCTTTATTCAGTTTAATCGTGAACAAGACGGTAAACTCGTGCCATTGCCGCATAAACACGTTGATACTGGTATGGGCTTTGAACGCTTAGCTTCGATATTACAGGGTAAAAATTCAAACTATGACACTGACGTGTTTACATCGCTCTTTGACGCTATTCAAAAGTCAACTGCTGCAGCTCCGTATACTGGAAAGCTTGGTAAGGAAGATCCTGACAAGAAAGACATGGCTTATCGTGTCGTAGCGGACCACATTCGTACATTGACATTCGCTATCACAGACGGAGCCGTTCCTAGTAATGACGGCCGCGGCTATGTATTGCGTCGTATATTGCGTCGTGCTGTACGCTACGGTCAACAGTTTTTGAATGCGCCGAGCGGTTTCCTCGCGGAGCTTGTACCTGTTGTTGTTACAATGCTGGGCGAAGCATTTCCAGAGCTGGTTCAGAAGCAGAAAGAGGTGGAGGAGATTATCCTAGACGAAGAAAGATCTTTTGGGCGCACTTTGAATAAGGGCATTGAGCGTTTTAAAAAGATCGCGCAAAACATTCGTGAGACCAATGGGGTAGTGGTGCCTGGTGAAGACGCATTCTTTCTGTATGATTCCATGGGATTTCCAATTGATTTGACGGAGATTATGGCGGAAGAAGAAGGAATGACTGTGGATATTAACGGCTATGAGGCGTGTATGCGTCTTCAGACTGAACGTTCGAAAATGGACCGCAAGAAGGGTGGAAGCAACGGTGCTCGCCCGTTGGTGTTAGAAGCTCGCGAGACTAGTACACTTGCTAGCAAACAAGTCACGGCCACAAATGACATGGCAAAGTACGAGTGGAACGTGAAGCCATCGGCGAAAGTGGTTGCTATCTTTACCACCACAGAATCAAGCTCGGATTTTGTTGACGAGGTAACGACCGGTGACTTTGAGCGTGTTGGTGTTATCTTGGACAAAACCTCGTTTTACGCTCAAGCTGGAGGTCAGATCTATGACACTGGTTTGCTCAGTGCAGCTAATTTCAAGCTGGATGTGGATGCTGTTGAATCGTATGCTGGATACGTGATGCATATGGGCCAAATTACGTCGGGTTCGATAAAGGTTGGAGACATTGTGGAGTGCCGGGTGGACTACATTCGTCGTGCCAAGATTGCCCCAAACCACACGATGACACACGCTCTCAATTTTGCGCTACGGCAAGTGTTGGGCGTGGTCGTAGACCAGCGTGGATCGCTTGTAGACGAATCGCGTCTGCGCTTTGACTTTACGACTAATAAGCCACTGAAGTCTGACCAGCTAGCAGAGATAGAGAAAATTTGCGATAAAATAATCAAGCAACAGCTCGAGGTATATACGCAGGAAGTGGCTCAAGCAGAGGCCAAGCATATTAATGGCTTACGCGCCGTGTTTGGCGAAACGTACCCGGACTTTGTTCGAGTTGTCTCTATTGGCCAACCCATTACTCCGATGCTTGAAGACCCAGAAAACAGCAACTGGAGCAACTACTCTATAGAGTTTTGTGGTGGCACTCATTTAAGTAATACGAAGGAAGCTAAAAAGTTCGTTCTTTACGAAGAAGGTGCCATTGCTAAGGGAATCCGTCGTGTGTCCGCCTACACGTGCGACTTGGCCATAGAGGCGGAAGAGCGTGGCGCTAAGCTTCAGGCTGAGATAGATGCGATCAAATTGCTCAATGGTTATGAGTTTATCGAAAGCGTATCGGCGTTCAAACCTGTCCTTGATCAGGCATTGATTTCGCTGCCGTTAAAAGACACGCTTCGAAAGCAAATGGATAGTCTCGTTGAACGTGTAAAGAAGATCAAGAGAGAGGCTGCAGCTGCTCGAGCAGCAAATGGTGTCCGAGATGCTGTCGCTGAGGCCACCAAGGCTAAAGAGGCTGGTAAAGAGATTGTCGTCGTAAAGTTTGATGTTGGCACGGACTCGCGGCTTGGTCGTGAGATGCTAGATGCCATGAGCAAAATTATCCCCAATGGCAGCTTTATGATCTTCAGCACTGATCCAGACGCGAACAAGACGGCGGCATTCACACAGGTGAGCCAGCAGCATGTGGATACCAAACAATTGGATGCTCGCAAGTGGGTGAATCACGCGATGTTAGGGATGAAGGGCAAGGGGGGAGGCAAAGACGCTTTGAATGCGACGGGTCAGGCGAAAACCGTTGAGAACGTCGATGAGGCAGTATCACTTGCTAAGGCATTCGTTCAGTAAGCAAACAGATAAGTTACGCAAATTGATTTGAAAGATCTAAGCCGAAGGACAGTCAGCGGGGAGCGCAGGCGCATACTCCTCAAGTAAACATTTGTATTATTATTATTCTCAGATAATACAAATTTGTTAGTATCCAGCGTATTTGTTGTATAAACAGTAAAGACCAAAACAAGAGAGCTCGACAATTGTCAGATAGATCTTGATTAGAGCGTGAGTGCCGAATCGACAGCAAAAATTTCATAATTTCCGCTCAAAATTGTCCGCATATTGCAAGTTCCAGGGCTATAGGCTGGCGATTTCTACTTGTAAGTACATTA